CGAGCGGAGACATCGTACACTTCCTCTCCCACACCGCAGGGCTGGGTTCACAGCTGCAGAACTAAACAAAATGGAACCAAATCCCCTGCTGTCTGACCAGGCTCCACCCGCGGCTGGACCAGACATCCCACAAAACCCCGACGAGCTCTGGGCCGAGGCCCAACGGGTGTTATTCGACGAACAGGAGGACGACCCGTTCGGCTTTGGTGGAGGTTTGGACTTCCTGGGCGACGAGTCAGCCAGCGCCAACCCTGCCCCGGCGGGCACCCGCACGGCGCCCCCGACTCCGCCATTGAGTGCGTCAGCCCACCCACATGACAACGCCGCTCCTTTTCAAGACGCTGATGAGCAGGACGATGACCTTTTCAGCCGCGGTGGGGGATCGGACGCTTGGGACGACGGACCAGCCAACGAAAACCCCGCCCCGTCGGGAAACCTCGCAAACCCTACTGCGACGCCGTCCCCAAGAGCGTTAACGCCCACATACGACGATATCGGTCACCGCCAAGACGCCGACCACGACACGGGTGCCCCCCGAGGATTGAGTGGCATTGAGGACGCACCGCCGACACCACACGCTGCCGACCATGACGCCCCACCGAGACACCAACCCTCTACGCGACCGACCTCTGCGGCCTTGCACGGCATCACGACTGGTCCCACCGCGCATACCACTCCGCCTCCCCATCGCCAGCGACCCGCGGGGGCGGCTTCAGCCCCCCCGCAGGGTACTAAACCAGACTGGCCCTCGTGCCCCACCCACGCTTCCTCCGTTGCTGAGCGAGAGGAAGCGGCTCCCCTGACCTCTCGGGGCGCGGCCCTAGCGGCTCCAGCCCTGGGGTCGCGCCGGCCCCTCCAGTCACCTTTCAAGGGTGACGGACGTCAGCGTTCAGGGTCCCGCACGCCGCTTGCCCACCTGGACAGGCGTACCGAGGACCTCGCCTCTGTCTCGAGATCCTCGGCGGATGTCACTGAGCAGCCACCTCTCACCGACCGTGAAACCGAGCTGTCACAGGCTATGGCTGCCCTTCAGCAGAGGTGCTTAGCTCTCGCCGCGGACCTCGCCGCTGCCCAAGCTCGTCAAGGTCCTCTACTCCAGCGCCTCCACAGCGCTGGGCGAGCCTTCGCCGAGCTGCTCACGACCTCGCCCGATGGTGTCGTGCCGTCACTCAACATCCAAGCTATGTTGTCATCGTTCCGCGGCGCTCCACCTGGTGCCCCGCGCTAATCTCCTCCTTTCTGCCTGCCCGTGTGTACGTGTGGCTCCGCGTCCACGGTGTCAGGGCGTGGGGGCGGGGGGTGCCCCGTCACTGCGCGCCGCTTAGCGGCCAAGCGCCCAACTGGCGGTCCGCCAAGCCGCCTAGCCACGTGCCAGCACGTCGCCTTTCTTGTTGGGGCCTTTTACCTCACGCGGTCTGTCAGGTGAGATCTTCATCGTCTGTCCGCCGTCTGTAGCGTCTGTCGCACTGCGCCGGGGGAGGGGGTTTTGTAGCCCGCCCTCGTATCTTAAGGCTGCACCGCCGCAAATAGTGCATGCGAGTTGTCGCACCGCAGTGCGCCTCGCGGACGGACCCTGGTCCGCCTACTTGTCCGATCTCTCTCTCTCTCTCTCTCTCTCTCTCTCTCTCTCTCTCTCTCTCTCTCTCTCTCTCTCTCTCTCTCTCTCTCTCTCTCTCTCGCTCTCTCCCCCCCCCCCCCCTCTCTCCACTTTCTCTCTCTTCTCTTTCTCTCTCTCTCTCTCCTCTCTCTCTCTCTCTCTCTCTCTCTCTCTCTCTTCTATCTCTATCTCTACTCTCTCTCTCTCTCTCTCTCTCTCTTCTCTCTTCTCTCTCTCTCTCTCTCTCTCTCTCTTCTCTCTTCTCTCTTTCTCTCGCCTGTCTCCTCTCTCAACTCCCCTCTCTCTCTCTCTTCTCTCTCTCTTCTCTGTCTCTCTCTCTCTCTCTCTCTCTCTCTCTCTCTCTCTCTTCTCTCCTCTCTCTCGCTACCTCTCTCTCTCTCTCTCTCTCTCTCTCTCTCTCTCTCTCTCTCTCCTCTCCCTCTCTCTCGCTCTCTCTCTCTCTCTCTCTTGCTCTCTCTCTCTCTCTCTCTCTCTCTCTCTCGTCACGGGCTCGTGAGATCAGCCAGGGTGGCTCCCCCTTGGGGCTCCCAAATGATGCCCCTGGCAGCGTTTTGTGACCATGAGGCTCTCAAGAGATACATGTTGGGGCGCCAAACGGCAATTCTAGCTGAGACGTCCCACCAAAATCGGCGCGAACGGGCTCGTGAGATCAGCCAGGGTGGCTCCCCCTTGGGGCTCCCAAATGATGCCCCTGGCAGCGTTTTGCGACCATGAGGCTCTCAAGAGATACATGTTGGGGGCGCCAAACGGCAATTCTAGCTGAGACGTCCCACCAAAATCGGCGCGAACGGGCTCGTGAGATCAGCCAGGGTGGCTCCCCCTTGGGGCTCCCAAATGATGCCCCTGGCAGCGTTTTGTGACCATGAGGCTCTCAAGAGAGACATGTTGGGGAGGCCAAACGGCAATTTTAGCTGAGACGTCCCACCAAAATCGGCGCGAACGGGCTCGTGAGATCAGCCAGGGTGGCTCCCCCTTGGGGCTCCCAAATGATGCCCCTGGCAGCGTTTTGTGACCATGAGGCTCTCAAGAGATACATGTTGGGGGCGCCAAGCGGCAATTCTAGCTGAGACGTCCCACCAAAATCGGCGCGAACGGGCTCGTGAGATCAGCCAGGGTGGCTCCCCCTTGGGGCTCCCAAATGATGCCCCTGGCAGCGTTTTGTGACCATGAGGCTCTCAAGAGATACATGTTGGGGGCGCCAAACGGCAATTCTAGCTGAGGCGTCCCACCAAAATCGGCGCGAACGGGCTCGTGAGATCAGCCAGGGTGGCTCCCCCTTGGGGCTCCCAAATGATGCCCCTGGCAGCGTTTTGCGACCATGAGGCTCTCAAGAGATACATGTTGGGGGCGCCAAACGGCAATTCTAGCTGAGACGTCCCACCAAAATCGGCGCGAACGGGCTCGTGAGATCAGCCAGGGTGGCTCCCCCTTGGGGCTCCCAAATGATGCCCCTGGCAGCGTTTTGCGACCATGAGGCTCTCAAGAGATACATGTTGGGGGCGCCAAACGGCAATTCTAGCTGAGACGTCCCACCAAAATCGGCGCGAACGGGCTCGTGAGATCAGCCAGGGTGGCTCCCCCTTGGGGCTCCAAAATGATGCCCCTGGCAGCGTTTTGTGATCATGAGAGAGTGTGAGTGTGAGCTTAACTTATCTTATCTTATCTTGAAAGTGAGTCTGAGTGAGAGCGAGTCTCATCTTATCTTATCGAGTCCTATCTTATCGAGTCCTTGTCATATATCTTATCTTACCTTATCATATCTTGTGCTATCTTATCTTATCTTGTAGTATCTTATCTTGTCTTGTCTTATCTGGTGATTATCATTGGGAGGAGGGAGGCGCGAGCGGGAGGAAGGAGGAGCAGTGGGAGGCGTCAGAGTAATAACAAGAACCCCAATCCTTAGGATATGGGGAAAAATTGGGAACCCTGGAACGCTCGCGGTGAGGCGCAGATGCTGGAATACATCCCGAGGCTGGAAAACCGCCGAGAAATGACGAAAACGTCCGGAAACCTCGAACCTCATCTCAAACTCCAATCCTCGCAACCAACCCTGTCGAACAGCAAGCAGCTGCCGAGTATCCACGGCGCCCCCCAGTGGCCCCAGAGAAGCCAAAAGCGTCCAACAAATCTGCCCTGCCCCGACCGACTCGGACTGCCCGCCCACCCTTCTCGGCGGCGGCGGCGGCGTCGCCGTCGCCGTCGCCGTCGTCGCCGCCACCGTCGCTACAATCGTCGTCGTCGACGTCGTCGCCGTTGTCGTCGTCGTCGCCGGCGTCGTCGCCGGCGTCGTCGACGTCAGCGTCGGCCTCGGCGCCGCCGCCGCAGCCGACATCGTCGTCGTTGTCGTCGGCGTCGGAGTCGTCGTCACTGCCGCCGCCGTCGTCGTCGTCGTCGTCGTCGTCGTCGTCGGCGTCGTCGTCGTCGTCATCGTCGTCGTGATCGTCGTCGTCGTCGTCGTCGCCGTGGTCGTTGTCGTCGTCGGCGCTGCCGCCGCCGCCACGGCCGCCCCCGCCGCCGCCGCCGCCGCCGCCGCCGCCCCCGCCGCCGCCGTCGTCGTCGTCGTCGTCGTCGTCGTCGTCGTCGTCGTCGTCGTCGTCGTCGACGTCGTAGTAGGCATCGTTGTCGTTGTCGTCGTCGTTGCCGTCGACGTCGTCAGCGTCGTCGTCGTCGTCGTCGTCGTCGCTGGCGCTTTGTCGGCGTCGGCGTCGCCGTCGGTGTCGGCGTCAACGTCGCCGTCGCCTTCGCCGTCGTCGTCCGCACCCGCGACGGCTTCGGCGTTGGCGTCGCCCTCGTCGTCGTCGTCGTCGTCGTTGTCGTGGTCGTGGTCGCCGTCGCCGTCAACGTCGTCGCCGTCGCCGCCGCTGCCGTCGTCGACGTTGGCATCGTTGTCGTCTTCGTCGTCCTCGGAATCGGACTCGGCATCGGAGTCGGCGTCGGCGTCGGCATCAGCAACTGCGCCGCGGTCGGCGTCGGCGTCGCCGCAACCGCCGTCGTCGTCGTCGTCGTCGTCGTCGTCGTCGTCGTCGTCATCGCCGTCGTCGACTTCGCGTCGGCGTCGCCGTCGTCGCCGCCGCCGCCGTCGCCGTCGCCGTCGCCGTCGCCGTCGCCGTCGCCGTCGCCGTCGCCGTCGTCGTCGTCGTCGTCGTCGTCGTCGTCGTCGGCGTCGTCGCCGTCGTCGGCGTCGGAGTCGGCGTCGGCGTCGGCCTCGGCGCCGCCGCCACAGCCGTCGTGGGCGTCGTGTCCGCGTCGCCGACGTCGTCGACGGCGCCGTCGGCACCAGCGACCTCGGAGTCGGCGCCAGCGTCATTGTCGGCGCAGCCGCCGCCACACCCGTTATCGTCGTCGTCGTCGTCGTCGTCGTCGTCGTCGTCGTCGTCCGCACCGCGCGCCCTGTACCAGCAGCGTCGGGCTGCCGTCCCGGGCCCTGCCGGCGGGCCGGCAGAAGTGCTGCGGCACGGCCCTGAAGGCGTCGGCCAGCCTGCGCGGTCGGGGGGAGGAGGAGGAGGAGGAGGAGGAGGAGGAGGAGGAGGAGGAGGAGGAGGAGGAGGAGGAGGAGGAGGAGGAGGAGGAGAGGAGGAGGAGGGGAGGAGGAGGAGGAGGAGGAGGATGGAGGAGGATGGAGGAGGATGGAGGAGGAGGAGGAGGAGGAGGAGGGGGGAAGAGGAGGAGGAGGAGGAGGAGGAGCGGGATGGGAGTGGCAAGTTCGTCGTGCACGATGACACCTCGCAGGCAGACCATTGTCCTAATATGCAGCACAGGGCGAGCGGCAGGGCCTCCTGCGTCGGGTCGGCGACGGAGCCTGCGCTCGCCGCCCTCGGACGCGGGGCGGGCGACGACACCCGAGAGGTCCGCGGGGCCAGCGTGGGGCGCCGCTGCAGCGGCGCGGCGGGGATCGCGCGGCGCCCCTGGGCCTCGGCGCGGGCCTCGTCGACCCCAGGCCGCTGGGCTGCGGCCGCGGGGAGAGGGGGTCAGCGGGGAGGGAGGGCGGAGGCGGGGAGCCGAAGGCCCAAGCGGCGGCCTCGGAGTCGGCCGCCTCGAGAGAGGCCCGCTCGAGCTCGGCCCCCGCGAGCTCGGAGGCGGGCTCGGCACGCAGCGCGTCTGCCGGACAGCGATCCTCTGGGACAGCCTCCTCCCCGCACTCGTCCTCGGAACACTGAAAACGAACCGCCTCCGGGTCGACGCGATTACGTCAGGGCGGGGTCGGGAGGGGTCTCGGGGAGATCCTCAGACTACTGTACAACCCAGGCACAGGGAGGGCAACTGCACAAGTGGGGGCCCTCCCACACGCGGCGGGGTCCAACTCGGGGGCCTGATGCGCACAGTGGTCCAACACGCGCGTGGCCACACAGGGCGCCGAGGAAGCCGCGAGGAGGGGAAGCCGCCAGAAGAACGCCGGGGCCTTCGCGGCCCAGAGGGCGGGGGCAGGGTGGACGAGGAGAAGGAGGAGGACGGGGAGGAAGAGCAGGAGCAGGAGAAGGAGGAGGAGGAGTAGGAGGATGAGGAGGATGAGGAGGATGATGATGATGAGGAGGAGGATGAGGGGAGGAGGAGCAGGAGGAGGAGGAGGGGGAGGAGGAGTTAAAGGGAATGAGGAGGAGGAGGAAGTACTCGGATATCTAAAGTACCTTGTCCTTGCTTGCGCCGTGCTGTGCTTTGGGGTCGCAGGAGAGAGAAGGTCGCAGCAGCGCGTTCCTCTAAACCCCCTTAGTTGTGACTGCACCGCGTTCATCATCCTACTCCTCCTCGTTTCTGCTCCTTCTCCCTCATTTTCCACCTCCCACGCAAATTCTGAGCCTCCGCCTGTCAACGTGCCGTTGCGCAGCTCAAGATTCATTCAAGCCTCGTCCGTCTCCTCCTCCTCCTCCTCCTCCTCCTCCTCATCATCCTCATCCTCGTCCCTGCTCCTCCTTCCGTTTGAAATCGGCGGCCAGCGTCGGCGCGAGTCTAACAGGGATCTGGAAGCTCTGTTTAAACATGCGGCGGGGAGTTGATTCGCCTCAGAGAGCAAGGGGGAGGGGGGGAAATGATGCCAACGACTCACTAGAGCGTGCCTCGGAAACCCAAAGTATGTACTGCATCCGATAGGAAGACATATGTTTGCTAACGTGGGTCCCCAACGCTGCGTTATTTCACTCTGAATGTGCACTGCATGGGATGCGAACAGTGTGGTGCAATATACGCCAGCCCCATGTAGGCCAGCAAGTTGCGAGGCACATGCTTCCTGTTCTCTGCAACAATTTCAGCGTGAAAGTTCCCAATGTGTCCAATGTAAATCAATAAGGTACAGAATGAAGTCCGTATGAGACTGGGCCGGAAGCATACCACTAACCAAGCCAACTGGGATTGTCAGAATTTCTAGGGACGCTGGAACACGTAAACATACAGCAGGTTCACGCTCCCGAGGCCACAACTTCATGTCACTTACAACGGATTCGCGCTCCCGAGGGCACAATCCATTTGATTATTCATTAAGAACTTCCGCTCCCCAATCCACAACCACTACCCCTCGCAAGTTCCGACGCACTCGCGCTCCCGAGGTCACAACCAATCGTACATACAACGGGTTCGCGCTGCTCAGGCCACAACCCCTAGTAAACCACTGCGCATTCACGTCCCCGACACATCCCCTCGTAATCGACAACACCTTCGCGCTCCCGCGGACACAACGCCTGGCAACGTATACCAGATTCGCAAGCTCCAGGCCACAACCCCTTGTAAACAACAACGCGTTCGCGCCCCTGGGGGCCACAACCCTAGATTACTACAGGGGCGCGCTCCCGAGGCCTCTAGCCCGACCGATGGAACCTGCCTGAAAGCGCGACCTTGTTCAGACCAGAAGTGTGATTTCGGGTGTTGTGGTATGTCTATACAGTGAGGGCGCGGCCGCAAGAAACCCTCGCAAGAAACCCAACCCTGAGAACCCGCGCGCGAGGTGCGCCCGAGGGGAATCCGGGAGCGCCCTGAACGCAGCAGCTTCTTCAGCGGCTGCGGGAAGTCACCGCGCAGCGGGCGGAGCGAAGAAACCCATGATGCCCTGACGAAAAACGCATGGTTTCTTGATGCACGCCCCCACTGCGTATGTTCGGAGGAGGAGGAGGAGGAGGAAGAATCTATATGTGCTCGGAGGAGGAGGAGGACGAGGAAGAGGAGGACGAGGAGGAGGAGGTGGAGGAGGAGGAGGAGGAGGAGGAGGAGGAGGAGGAAGAGGAAACGTTGGCCCTGGGCCCGGAGCCACGAAGCCGTGCAAGTAATTAGCGAGGGAGGGCCGCGCTCCCGAGGCCGCGCACCCCCCGTGCCGCTGGCAGCGACACCGCGCTCCCGAGGCCACCACCTCTGACGAGTTGCCGCAGACGCGCGCGCCCAGCCAGCCAGCATTGAGTTGGGCCTGTCCCCCATACAGGGGGATTTTCGACGAACGAAAGATATACTCCAAGAGTGCTCCAAAAAGGTCAACAAATACTCAAAAAATAATCCCCAGAGTACTTTTGGACTATTTTGGGGGTATGTTCTATTTCTCGTCGAAAAAACCCCTGTAGAGGGACAGGCCCGACTTAAAGCCAGCAACACGCTCCAAACAACTGCCAGCCAGCTCGTTAGACAGCAGGCCAATCCGCCGAGTTGCCAGCTGGCCAACCGACGGGCCAACAAGCTAATCAGCCGAACAAGCGTAGCCATGCAAAGCAGTCAGAAGGGGGGGGGAGGGTGGCGGCAATCGGCGAAGACCTTCAGACATGTGATGAAACCTATGTGGTGCAAGGCGTGTGGTGCAAGCTAGTTGGTAAAATCCATGCGGTACATTCTGCGTGGTACGAGCTGTGTGGTACACTGCGCATGGTGGAAGCTGGACGGGACAGCACATGCGATGCAATGTATGTGGTGCAAGCGATGCGCTGCAAGCTGGATGGACTCTGTGTGTGATGCAATCACTGTGGAGGAGGAGGAGGAGGAGGAGGAGGAGGAGGAGAGAGGAGGAGGAGGGGGGAGAGGAGGAGGAGGAGGAGGAGGAGGAGGAGGAGGAGGAGGAGGAGGAGGAGGAGGAGGAGGAGGAGGAGGGAGGAGGAGGAGGGAGGAGGAGGAGGAGGAGAGGAGGAGGAGGAGGAGGAGGAGGAGGAGGAGGAGGAGGAGGAGGAGGAGCAGGGAGGAGGAGGAGGAGGGGCGCCCACGGGCGGGCACCCGGCGCCGGCGAAAAGCCCCAGCGAAGGCCGCTCGGCGCACGGGGCGCCCCCGAGGCGCCCCCGAGGCGGGCCCGCACGGGGCGGGCACGCACACAGAGGGCGAAGCTCCGCCGGGCCCGCCCGGAGCGCGGGGCGCCCACGGGGCGGGCTCACAGGGCAGGCACCCCGGCAGACCCACCCAGCGCGCTCAGGGCACACACGGGAGGCGCCCCCTTGGAGGCGTCCAAAGGGGGCGGCCGCCCACGCCCGGCACCTCGCGGAACGCTTCCGCATGCCCGGCAGACCCACGCAGTGCTCGCAGGGCACACGCGGGAGGCGCCCCGGAGGCGTCCAGAGGGCGGCCGCCAACGGGGCCTCCTGCGAAACTTTATTTCGCATGCCCACGCAGTGATTCTCCTCAAGACATGTAGGAAACCCTCACTGCAAGCACTGATTGGGAAAACCTGTTGAGGAACTGACCCAGTCAAGTCGACCCGCTGGCCAAGCCCAACCAACCTTCCGGCCAACCCTGGCCGCGCCTCCCAACTACCTCATCGGGCCAACCCTGGTCATGGTACTTCCCATGAGACACAATGCTGACTTGTGCTCGCGATGTTGCGGAGACTGCCACGCCCGATGGAGAGATTGCGACCGTCGGCTCCCGAGGCCCAAGAATACCTCGAAACTAATGAACAGATCTGCAACATCAAAACTCAAATCCCCAAGAAACCTGGGCCATCGCGAAAGGTCAGGATCAACAATTTCGCCAGAATCGTCAATGCTTCCCAGGAGTATTGACTCTTGCCACTGTTCTGATGCAGAAGCGTGCAGGTAGCTATGCTTCACGAGCATCATGTGCAAAACCTTCTGTGCACAGACTGAGCTCCCCTAAGAGACGACAATCAACCAACGACGCCTCAAAATAAAATGATACACGCGTGTTGACGAAACACGGCTGGGAACTGCTGCCTGCGTATGACATGCTCCACGATCAAAAACCATATACTGGACGTGGCTCCAAATACGAAATTGACCAACTACGCCTAGAACGTAACCAACTAATAACCGAATCATCAACTAACCGTGCAAACAAGGGGCCCACACACAACGCTGTCCAACAAAGGGCTCGCACATGCAATCAGTCACGCCATTCATCAATCAAGATCACTCGCAATCAAACGCGCAAGCAATCAGGCATGCGGTGCAACACACAACACCACAATCAATTACGCCAACAAACAACCGCTCAGGAAAGCAAACACGCAATCAGGAGAGCACGCAAATAAACAAAAACAACATCAGACACATACGTACTCAAGCACGCAAGCACACAAGCAACCATGCGAAGTAATAATCAAGCTGGGTTCGGATGCAGAAGCGGATGCCGATTCTGAATTTGATTCATGTGACATCGGCCACAACAAAGGGCCGTGGGTAGCCGAATCAAACGATTCCCGAGAGCGATACACAACTCTTCGCAACCGCTTCCAGGGTCTGTTTTCACGAGTGCGGTCTATGCCAGAACACTATCGCGAACGCCATTGATCGTTCATTCAATCGAATGCACCTGTGGCCCCTTCTGAGTCTACATAAGCGTAACAATTTCAGACCATCGCAGCCTGTCCGGATCGCCATCCTGTCGCCGCCACTTCAAATGCTGGGCGTACATCTCGATAGCCTCGTCAACGGAGCCAGGCCGAGCCTGGCAAAACCGCAACAACTCGTTGGCCGGCGCGCTGGGGAACCGCTTCACCTGAGAAGCACGCTTTTGACCCTCGCACGCGCTAGCCAAGCCACGCCGAGGCATACAAAATTATTGAGTCGGCGGGAAGGTTTTTTATTCTCTCCCTACAGTCATCGGCCTGACCTAAGGAACGATACATAAAGAACGAAGCCCCTTCCTTCCAAGGAACAACGCATAGGGAACGATGAGCAAAGAATACATGACGCATAGGGGAACAAAACATGACGCATGCAAGCCTAAGGAACGACCGAGCCCCTTTTGAGAAGCAAGTGTTCCTTAATCGAGCCGCTCGCTGTAACACGTGCCAGGCGTCGTCCTCTCCCCCCTGCTCGCCTGGCGAGGCCTCCTGGGGGGGCCTTGTGGCGGCCGCTGGAGGGCCTCCCGGGGGCATCCTGGAAGGCCTCTCGGAGGGCTCTTGGCGGCCCCTTAAGGCCATGCTTGCGCCGAGGATACTTTACAGTCGGGGCGTTGACCTAAGGAACCCTAAATAAGGAACGAGGCCCCTCTTTTCCATGAGTTGAACTTCGCTTTCCCATGCAAAAACCTAACGGAAACCCGAGGCAAACTGTAAAACAATCAAGGAACACCGAGCCCCTCCCCAACGAAAAGCGTTCCTTCTTCAAGGCCCCGACTGTACGCTGCTAGCATTGTCGACATTTGGACGGGCTTGGGGGCCTCTTGTGGCCTCTCTTGAGGGCCCTCTTGGGTCGTCTGGTGCCCCTCGGCCCCTCTCGGGGCTCTCTTGGGCGATCGTAAGACCATCTTGAGGTCTCGGCAGCCAATGGTGAGAAAAAGTGCAAAGGCGAAACTGATTCAACAATTCTTGAAGATGTTGACCTCTGGGGGCCATCTTTGGGAGGCTCCATGGCCACCTCGGGCCGTCTTGTGGCGGCCTGTAGGCCTTTTTGAGGCCAATCGGAAACCACCTTGGACCGTCTTTGGCCATCTTGTGTCCGCTTGGAAGCCTGCCGTACTGTCGGACCTAAGACAGAAGAACATCCTCCAAGAACGTGAGACCCTCCGCCGGCAAAAACACACAGAACGTCTAAGGGTGCCCTCCTCCAGGATTCACAGGATTTTCCAACGAACTCGAAAAAACATCAGGGTACCCTCCCCGAGCTGACCTCGATCCTATACCTCGGTCCGACTTTGAACAAGCGCGGTCCAACATTCGCAAAGTAACTACTCGCAAATGACAATCCGTAGAGGAAGACATGTTGTTTTGACGTTTGCGAGTAGGCACTTTACGAGTAGGCACTTTGCGAGTAGGCACTGCAGACTATCGGTTCTCCCCGGGAAACCTGCCAGGTCAAGATGGGGGCCCCATAGACGGTGACTTCGGACAAGACGGGGCACTGGCGCGCCCGACAAGCCCGCAGCCGTGGGACGACACGGTCTCCACTCTTCGTTCGATGCCTTGCTTCTTGCTATGTTTGGCGGTCGGACCCAGGACAGTAGGACACCCTCCAAGAACACGAGACCCTCCGCCGGCCAAACTAAAGACCATTCGAGGATACCCTCCCCCAGGATGCACAAGAACCACCCAACACACACGAAGAACATTAGAGTACCCACCCCCCGAACCGACCTCGATCCTACACCTCGGTCCGACCGCAGCGGCTCAGCTCGGGCGGGGTGGGGCACGTCGGGGCGACAGGGCGCTGCGATCGCCAACGCATGCGCGCGGACACCACCGCCACGACCGCGAGAGAGGTGTTTTCCTGCTCCTGCTCCTGCTCAGAACTCCGAGCTCCGAGCTCATGCTCCTCCTCCTCTCCCCTCCCCCTGTGCCTGGGCGGGGGGGGCAAGCCCTCCCCCTGTTGCTGATGCCGAAGGGGGGGTGGGGGGGGGGGCTGGGGTAACGCCCGTTACGCGCCAGAGGCTGAAAGCTTACTCCGACGCCAGGACCCCGCATGAGAACCTGAGGATTCTGGAAGTAACCCTCATCGTCGTCCGTGTGGCTGCGCAGGCTAATTCACTGACTTCTCCTCAAGTTTTATTTTCGCCCTCGATCGGTCTCCTTTCCACCCTGGCTTCGCCTCCTCCTCCTCCTCCTCCTCCTCCTCCTCTTCCTCCCTTTCCTCCTTCTCCTCCTCCGCCTCCTCCTCATCATCATCTGCTTCCTCCTTCTCCTCATCCCGCCTCTTCTCTTCATCCACCTCCTCCGCCCCCTGATGCTCTCTGCTGGTCCCTGCGGGTCTCTGCTGCACCCTGCTGCTCGCAACTGGTCTCCGCTGGTCTCCCCCAGCCTCTGCTGCTCTCTGCTGGTCACTGCTGGTCTCTGCCGCTCTCTGGTACTCTCTGGTGCTCTTCTGCTGCTCTTTGCTGGTCCCTGCTGGTCTCTGCTGCACTCTGCTGCGCTCTGCTGCCCCCTGCTGCTCTCTGCTGCTCTCTGCTGGTCCCCGCTAGCCTCCGCTGCCATCGGCTGCCCTTTGCTGCCCTCTACTGGTCTCTGCTTGTCCCTGCCGATCTGTGCTGGTCTCTGCTGCTCTCTGCTGCCCTCTGCTGCCCTTTGCTGCGTTCTCCTGGTCCGTGCGGCTCTCTGCTGGTCCCTCTGCTACTCGCTGCTGGCATCATCTGGCTATCTGGTGGCCTCTGCTGGTCCTCACTGGTGTGTGCTGCTCTCTGTTGGTCTGGGCAGTCCTCTGTTGCTCTGTGCTGCTCACAAGTGCCCTCTGCTGCGCGTGGAGGTGGAGATCCCATGAATGGGGGCTCCCGCTGAAGACGCCCTCGCGATTCACTCACACACGAGGCTCCCGCTCGATGCTCCCTTCAAACTCAAGCCTCATGACACGAAGCGCGACGATACTTACAAGCATCGGATGACCCGCGAGGACTTGGACATTGAGATGCGGGCCCCATAGGGAAGGTTCCCGCTCGAGATATCTCGTGATTCACTCACATGCGAGGCTACCGCTCGAGATGTCCGTCCGATTCAGGCCTCACGCCCCAAAGTGACGAGGATTACAAGGTTCGGATGGCCCGTTGGGGTTCGAATGCTGAGGTGGGGACCCCGGGAGGGGCGTCCACTCGCGAATTCCACGTGATTCACTCAGAAAAAAGGCTCACGCCCGAACCTTTCTCTATATTCAAGCCTCACGGATCACACCAGGATGGCAATTGCGAAGATCCGATGGCCAGCGAGGATTCGAACACCGAGGTGATGACCGCAGAATTGAGGGGTTCCGCTTGCTATTCCCCGCTATTCACTCGCACAAGAGGCTCCCGCTCGAGACTTGTTTCAGATTCAGGGCGCGTGTCTGCGTGCGTTGTTTTGTTTTGTGTGCGTGTGTGTGTGCTGTGTGTTTGCGCGCGCGCGCGTGTGTGTGTGTGTGTGTGTGTGAGTGTGTGTGTGTGTGTGCGTGTGTGTGCGTGCGTGCGTGCGTGCGTGCGAGCGTGCGTTTGTGTGTGTGTGTGTGCGCGTGTGTGAGAGAGAGAGAGAGAGAGTGCGTGTGCGTGTGCGTGTGCGTGTGCGTGTGCGTGTGCGTGCGCGCGCGAGCGCGTGTGTGTGTGTGTGTGTGTGTGTGTGTGTGTGTGTGTGTGTGTGCGTGCGTGCGTGCGTGCGTGCGTTGTGCGTGTGCGTGTGCGTGTGCGTGTGTGCGTGTGCGTGTGCGTGTGCGTGTGCGTGTGCGCGTGTGCGTGTGCGTGTGCGTGTGCGTGTGCGTGTGCGTGTGCGTGTGCGTGTGCGTGTGCGTGTGCGTGTGTGCGTGTGCGTGTGCGTGTGCGCGTGCGCGTGCGCGTGCGCGTGCGCGTGCGCGTGCGCGTGCGTGCGTGCGTGCGTGCGTGTGTGTGTATGTATGTGTGTGTGTGTGTGTGTGTGTGTGTGTGTGCGTGCGTGCTTGCGTGCGTGAATTTTACGCTGATGAGGTTGAGGCTGAGGATGAGGACGACGATGATGATGCTGCTGATGCAGATGACGATGATGATAATGTTGACGATGATGCTGATGCTGACTGCTGATGGTGCTGATGTTAAGCCAGTTGCCACGTTACGGAGCATACCTTGGGCGCCTCTCCCTCCGACGGCGCCCGCCCTCAACCCTGGCCCCACCCACCCATGACCCTCTCCACGAGCCTCTCCAGCTGAGACGCCTGCTGTGCTGCGTACGTCTTAACCGCACGCGGAGGGACTGGGCTATGCCCCAATGCCAGGCGTTGAGACAGCTTACGGTGTCGCCTGCACTGCTTCGACCTGTAGCGGCCGAGCCTGCTTAGCTGGACGAGCTGGCGCAGCTGGTGGCGGAGCTGGGCGATCGGCTGCGGAAGGGGATGCCCGAGATTCTAGGCGCCCCCAGCCTTTACGACAGCCGCCGATCTGCTGCGCTGCTGCCTGAACCAGCTTGCAATGCTCAGGACTTACTGCTGCCTCCAGCATGCCGGCTGGTAGATCACCACAACACGCAAGATCAGTGACGGAAACGACACCTGCCCACTTGAGGGATTCGCGCATTGACGTCGCCGCATCTTGCAAAGCCCCCAAATCCAACAGCACGTCAAGGATACTTGCCATTTTGGCGAAAGCGAGCAAGCATACACCCTGAGATGCTGATGTTTCAGAGGACGGCTACGCATGAGCACCTCCTGCACCCCATCCCACACCACCCACTCCCTGCGACTTCATGCTCACCCGATGCACTGCTGAGAAAGACCGCGCAGAGACCTAAGAAGCACCGAAATTCGTGACATCGTCTTGAAGCCCTCGGCAATGCAAGGGCTTGGGGTGGCCAACAGGAAAGGTCAAATGTTTCACCCCTCCGATGTCCTTCGTTGCAGTCAGAGCCCTGTGCTCATGAGGACTTGCACACTGCATGGCAGGAGGCGCCGAGAGAAATATATGTCACGGACTCGGTGCGCGACGCGCCGTATCCGCGACACTCCCGGCGCAAAACGTGAAGCAACCGACTCAACACTGCGGAGAAGCTCACGGGGCCCTCCAAGCCGTCTTCGCGACAGTCGATGTTGATGATGATGGCGATGATGAGGGTGCTGATGCTGATGCTGATGTAAATG